CAGGATTCAACAAAAAACAAGCAGGTTAGACAAGACAATTTAAGCAGCAACTGAGAAAAATAAAAATGAATTCTCTTTTCTTGTATACTTTTAAATTTCCAGAAGGCTTTTAAGTTATTGAAGTATTTACTAAAGGCATAAGACATGTGAGTGGAAATCATTACTGTCATCTATATTAATAACACCTGTAAAATTGATCAGTGTTTCATATTTTCTTCTTTCAATTAAACTCTGCTGTCTGAGATTACAGCACAAAAAAGAGTCTCCGAAAAAAATTGCAAAAAACAATTTAGTCACATATTTCCTTTGTGAGCTTATTTGGTTACATCTGAAAATACTGAGAACTTTTATTCTATGAAAATGATTGTTCCCTCAATAGCTATTGAATGCATCAAAATGTCTAGCACCATTTCTACTACACAGTAAATGCTCAAATATATTTATTGGAATTAGCAACCATTCCCTTTTCTTTGCATCCTCTCCATCTGTTTTTTGATTTTTTAACAGAAGCCATTCTGACTGGTGTAAGATTGTGGTTTTAATTTCATTTCTCTAATGATTAGAGATGATGAACATTTATTCATATATTTGTTGTCAGCTTGTATGTCTTCTTTTTAGAAGTATCTATTCATGTCTTTTGGCTTCTTTTTAATGTTTTTTTTCTTGATAATTTAAATTTCTTATAGATTCTAGATATTAGACCTTTGTCAGATGCACAGTTTGTGAATATTTTCTCCCATTCTGCAGGCTGTCTGTTTACTTCCTTCATAGTTTTGCAGTGCAGAAGATCTTGAGTTTAATTAGGTCACACTTGTCAATTTTGTCTTTTGTTGGAATTGCTTTTGAAAACTTAGCCAACATCAAATAGGGTATTTCCTAGGTTTTCACCTAAGATTTTCATATTTTGCAGTCTTACATTCAAATGTTCAATCAATCCTGAGTTAATTTTTGAGTATGGTGAAAGGTCAGGTTCTAGCTTCATTCTTCTGCATATCAGTTAGCGATCACAGTACCATTTATTGACTAGGGAGTCCTTTCCTTATGGCTTAGTTTTGTTGACTTTTTCAAAGATCAGATGGCTGTAGGTGTATAGCTTTATTTCTGAGTTCTCTATTCTGTTCCATTGGCCTATTGTCTATTTTTGTTACCAGGATCATGGCTTTTGGTTACTGTTGCCTGGTAGGATAGTTTGCAGACAATGTGATGCCTTTCGCTTTCTTCTTTTTGCTTAGGATTAATTTGGCTATTCAGGCTCTTTTGTTGTTGTTGTTTCATATGAATTTTCAGTAATTTCTTCTAGTTCTTTAAAAAATGATGTTGGTAGTTTGATAGGAATAGCATTCCATCTGTAAATTACATGGGGTATTATGGCCATTTAATGATACTGATTCTTCCAATCCATGAGCAAGGAGTGTTTTTCCATATTTTGTGTTATGATTTCTTTGAGCAGTGTTTTGTAGTTCTCCTTGTAGAGATATTTAACCTCCTTGGTTAAGTCTATTCCTAGGTATTTTATTTTTGTGTGTGACTATTATGACTGGGATTGCATTCTTGATTTGGCTCTCAGTTTAAATGTTATTGGTAACTGATTTTTGTGTATTAATTTTCTTTGCCAAATTTTGGTATTAGGATGATGCTGGTTTCATAGTGTGAGAGAAGTCTCTCCTTGATTTTTTTGGAATAATTTCAGTAGGATTGGTAACAATTCTCTGTCTGGTAGAATTCAGCTGTGAATACATCTGATCATGAGCTTTTATTGGTTGATAGGTTTTGTATTATAGATCCCATTGTTATTGGTCTGTTCAGGTTTTCATTTCTTCCTGTCTCAACTATGAGAGGTTGTGTGTTTCAAGGAATTTATCCGTTTTCTCTATATTTTCTATTTTGTGTGCATAGGGGTGCTCAAAATAGTTTGAGGATCTTTTGTATTTCTTTGAGCTCGGCTGTAATGTCATCCTTGTCACCTCTATTTATGCTTAGATATCTTTTTATTTGTTAATCTAGTTAGTCTATGGATCTTTTTTTTATTTATTCAAAGAGACAACTTTTGGTTTTATTGATCTTTTGTGTAGATTTTCGCATCTTGGTTTCATTAAGTCCTGCTCCACTTTTGGCTATTTCTTGTCTTCTACCAACTTTGGGTTAATTTGCTCTTGTTTTTCTAATTCCTCCAGGTACTGTATTAGATTGTTATTTGGAGTTTTCTAATTTCTTCATGTAGTAGTTTAGTGGAAAGTCTTGGGAGATAGGCACCCATGGCCACGTTTTGCTGCAGCTGCCCCACAAGCAAAATGCCTTGGGCTCTGGAGCTCCACCCTTCTGTATTCTCTGAGTAGATTCCCCTGCCAATTCAAGTGTCTGTGAGGATCAGGATCATCCCTTGTAGCTAGGATCCCAGAGGTCCGTGGCGAAGGTGGATTGCCCCACAGTAACTTCACTCGCCCTTCCTTAATAGCTGTTCAGGGCTGGGAATTAGTTCTGGCACTTGGCATCCCCATGCAGGGACCCTAGCTTCCTCCATCTTCAGCATCAATGACTGCGTCACCTCACTGTCGACTCTCAGTTTTTTCTCTCAAAAGATCTGCTTTCAGTATGCGGGTTTAGTTCATATTTTGGTGGCTCTTGGTGAGAGAGGCACTTTCTAGCTGCATCTAGTTAGCCCTCTTGTTCTGAATCTCCTCAAGTGACATTTATACCTTAGGGTTTGATGGTAACCAATAGGTTGGCTTTGGCATCCTTCAACTCAATGTCACAGTTGTGTCTTTGCTATTAGTATAAACTAAAGAAAAAACCATTATTATTTTAATAATCTCTGACTGTCAGACAAAAGTGACTATTTTGTTCTTACTCTTTAGGCATTGGTCTCATTGTCCTCTTGGTTTGCACAGATGGATACAGCATTGCTCTAGCCATACAATGCTCAGTCTTCCATCCAGATGCTCACATGGAGCAGGTTCTCACTTTATATTTCAACACCTGAACCCAAACACCATGTGTTCCATTTGACAGAACTGGAGGCAGACTTTACCTTCATGGATTAGTTATGCTACATCAGGCTTTTTTCCTCCTCTGTGTAAGAGCATGAGGAGAGAAGATATAAATACATTTATCCTTAAAACCAAAATAACAAGCCCATCTTAATGTTACTTCAGTTTTTTTAACATAAGAATAGTTACAAAGTAACGGTCTGTTACACTTATTTGGAAATATAAAATTATTCCTCTGTCATATACTAGTTTCTTAAAAAGTTAAACAGAATAACCATATGACCCAGCAATTCCACTTCTAGGTATATACCCAAAAGAGATGAAATCGGAGACTCGGACACTTTCACACCAGTACTCAGAATTTCCACACTATTCATAATAGATGTGGAAATAGCCAACCGTATATCAACAGATGAATGGGTAAAGAAAAAGTGATGTGTGTGTCAGTGTACATATATATATCTATAGGAGTGACATAGATGATAGATAGATAATATTTACATATATTTTAATAATATTATATTGGGGTGATATATATTTTTAAATATTTTGGGTGTATATATATGTATATATATATATATATATATATACACATACACACACACACACACACACACACACACACACATATATATATATATATCTCACCTCAATGGAATATTGTTCATTCTTAAAAACTAATGAAATTCAATACATACTACAACATGGATAAACTTTGAAAATATGCTAAGTAAAATAAACCAAACATATAAGAACAAATAATGTATGACTGTGATTATATGACTATACGTACACATAGTCATGCACTATGTATGATTCGTATTTGTATTAATGACAGAGGCTGGAGAGGCAGAAATGGGGAGTTATTGTTTAATGAGTACCAAGTTTCTGTTTAGGTTGATGATAAAGTTATTGAAATGAATAGTGGCAATGTTTGCACAGTTTTGTGAATGTACTTAATGCCATTGAATCATATACTTTAAAATGATTAGAATAGTAAATTTGGAATTATATATGTTTTGCCACAGTAACAGGTAAATTAATAAGTAAACTTTTTTTTTAATTACTCCCTGTGGTACAGTTACTCCATTCATCATCACATTGAGGCTTCCAGATTGCGGAGTGTTGTGAGGTGTTGTGAAAATGGCTCCGAATGTGAAGTCAGAAAAAACTTTCCTGTAAATCTCAGCTCTGTCACCTAGTAGGAATGCAAATTTGAGGACGTCACTTAGGTCTATTGCACCTTAGTTTCTTCAAGTTATGCTGTCCAACAGAGTTGTTTTGATGACTATAATTGTAACACATATAAAGTGCCTCATAAATTCAAACAACAAGGCAAGTGGATGGAGGCGACTTTTTAAATATATTCCTTTACAGAGCTTAGTTATAATACTCAACACTAAAATGCATTTATTAATTCATATTTAAATACACTAAAATATTAAGGTATTGTTGGTAAGACAACCACAGATTTTTTTTAATTTTTTCTATTTAAAGTACTAAATCCATAATTTTTAGAATTAAACAATGGTGAATTTCCAAGGAACCACATTTCTGTTTCCCATTTCTTTAAGGAATGCATTACTAAGCCTTTCCATTTATCTTATTTGAAAACCATTTGTTCATGATGTAGCCTCACTGTACATATCTTAAGAGATAATTATATTACCTCAGAAAGAAGGGACAGCTATATTATATCTCATCTGAGATGAAAAAAATGGTCTTCATTCATACCTAATTATAAGTTTTAAAGTATTTTACTACCTTTTCTCATCTTCATTCCAAACCACACAAACCGTTATCAGTCTCTACACTGTTAAACATATAACAATAATTTGGCATGACATTATATCACATTGGAAATTATATCAGAAGGTCCTTTGGATACATAATTAAATTGCAAAATAAGTACTTTTAAAGTAAGATAAATTTTATGCTATAACATCATAAGTTAATAATAAAATTAATGTCATTGAAACAAATGCCAACTAATTTTTTTGTTTTCCTCCTTAGTGGTTATGTCTTTGACTATGATTACTACAGAGATGATTTCTACAATCGGTATGTAAATTTTTCATCCTCATTTTCCTATAATTTAAATTATCTTTTAGCCATTTTGTGCATTTTGCTCATGGGTGCTCTTGATTACAGTATTTAACATAATATTTTTCTAGTTAAAAATAAAATACTAAATCCCAGCAAAATATAGATTTTTCTATTTTTGTTATTACTTACTGCAGTACAGCAGATCTTGGAATTTTAGGACTTTCAAGGTATTCAAACTTAAAATTTGGTATCTAATATTTAGATAAAATCCTAAAGATTTATCTAGCTAATGTTATTTTCCAAGTGAGTTGTTGATTTAGAATCCTTCAAAATCAAGAGCTTGAAAACTCAGAAAAATGACTCCAGCCTTCTAAGGTACATAATAAAAGACTGAAAATGCTATATTGGTTAGAGTCTGTAAAACATACAGATCGTTCCTGCTTTGCATGAGTAGGAGGCCACAAAGGTGACCATGCGATCTGAAACCATGCAATGAGGAAAAAACAGGATTGTCTCATGACCTTAAAAATTTTTGTCAAAACATTAACAACTTGTATTCCATTTTCTATAATAGGAAACTATAGTAAAGCTAAGTGTGATTTAGTATGCCATAATTTAAAACAATAAGAATATTAAGAATTAAGGTGTTTTACTTCTTTGTAAAAAACACTTATCAAAAGGAGTTGAAACAGTGCATGCCTTCTTCTCATTTCCTAACTTAGGGCAGGATATGGAATAGGCATCCATGTTATGCCTTGTTGGATATTCCTTTCTAAGGTTCAATTAGCTGTGACATTCTATCAATGTTGTGAGCTATCTCTGAGGGTTCTTTCAATATGCGGTTCTTTTGCCAGGGTCACTTCCTCTCCATAGCTTCATCTGTTTCATCACATCACATCCACTTTCCTCACTTATATCGATAAGTTCGCCTTTACTAAGTTCCTCTGGCTCCATACCTAGATTCACTTAAATGGAGGAGTATCAACATTCCTGTAGTGAGCTATTTCTTCTGTAATTTCATTTACATTTGAGTTTCCCGTCTAGTATTATCAGTCTTCAATTCTTTGCTGCATTTCATCTTTGTTGATCAGTTATTTCTTTTGATTATTCAATTTTGTAAAATGCCACGTTTTATCACTGAGAGACAAGGAAGAATTACAACTAATGATCTGAAATGAGTGAAGTGAATAACCAATGAACAGCAAAAAATCACTGACAGGCTTTGAAAGAAGTAATGTGATTAGTGATGAACTGTGATTATGATGCACATTTATTATTTATGCATTTATTTGTAGAAAAGCTAGAAGCAAAGTTTGGACTTTATTAAATTACTTACCATTTATATGTTGTAGTAACTAAAATTTGTGTTGTTGGAGAACTGGTATAATTTAATATTAGTAACTGAAATGTATCCATATCAGAGACAGGGATCAACTATATATAGATAATTAGATCAAATAAATGAGGTAAATATACTTTAAGCCTTTAATTATAAGTATTATGCAAACAAACAAAAAACCCTTAGGTACTGTTTTAAAAGGCAAACTTAGAAGAAAGTTGTCAATAGATGTTTTAAAGAGGAAGAAACTGTGATCCTTGAAAGGGTCTTATTCTCTCTGCTCCAGCCTCCAGAGCCCTTCATAAGTTTCACAAGAATACCGTGTTTCTTCCTGCCTCAGTTCCTTTCTCTGTGTTGTTCCATCTCCTCACACCTCCCTCTACCACTTGGTTCACTTGACTTCATCCTTCTGATGTCAACAGGAATTTCCCTCAAAGACTAAATTAGGCTCCTTAGTTCCCCTCTTCTCAGCACCCAGCACTGTTACTTCACAGTACCTCTCCTAATTTCTATTGCCGTATTTCTTTCTGCAGTGTTTGATTCATGTCTTCCTTCCTTCCCCCACCCAAACAATGTTCAGTTTTGCTTATCTTTGTATTCTTGGAGACTCTCAGTAAACCTCACACATAGTGGATACTCTGTGTTATTAATTCATCTCCACAGATTTAAAGACATATTCATTTTCCCAAGGCCACCCAGCTAATTAGTGACAGAACTACAATCATAATCTAGGCATCCAATTAGATTCAATAACCAACTATGTGAATATGCACAATAGGGAGGACAATATCAGTCTATGGATCTATGCTGATTCCTACCTGGGAATCAGACGCACAACTGTACCTTCACTGCTACTATGCTTGAACCAATGAATTAAGCAACTTATTTTACTAGTTATCCTTTTTTGACAAAAATTATTTTTTAAGAATGATTTTCTCAAAGCATTTTATAATTTCTGTAAATTTTATTTTAAATATTAAGAAACTTGCAATAACTTATTCTAAAAGTGATGCAAACATCTAGCAGCATTAAAATAATCCCATTTGCTATCAAAAAGAATATCTAGACTGTTTTTATGCTATTTGAAAATTTTAGTTTTTGACAAGTTTAGACATTTTCTATAGCTTTTGTTTCACTTGCTATGAGTAAAGTTTTCAATTAATATACATTGTCTTATACTCTGTCAATATAAAGCCATTTTAGCACCTTTTATTTTCTATCATGTGACTTCCTTACACACATTTAAAGAATTTTCACCTAACATCGAGTTTTATTCTACATGGTAAGCGACCCATGTTCTGGTTGTTACTGGAAAGGGGTCCCAATTCAGACCTTAAGAGAGAGTTCTTGGGTCTTGCAAGAAAGAATTCAGGGCAAGTCCACAGTGCAAAGCAAAAGAAAGCTTATTAAGAAAGTAAGGTGGTGAACGAACAGCTCCTCCACAGACAGAGTACGGTATTCCTGAAAGTAAGAGGAGGAATGCACCCATCCTAGGTACAATGCTTGTTTATACATAACAACTTCAACAAAAACCAGAAACAAACAAACAAAAAAAACATGGGCAGATGTGCTCTCCTGCAAGGGTTTGTTATAAAGGATTAATTTTTCTAATTACTGTATTTTGCAAGAATCGACCTTTAAAGCAAAATTAAGAATGCTTTTGTTCTCAAGGTATGGAGATATCAGGACATTCCTGGGCCTGGGTCTGTTTAGTAAACATTATTCATCTGTCCCCTTAACCTTAAACATTTAGAAGCTAGGAATACCTACCTCCTGGGAATGCAGCCCAGCAAGTCCCAGGCTCATTTTTTTCCTTGCCCTTACTCAAGCCTCTGACATGGTAACTAGCCTTGTAACTTTAGGCAAGACAGGTTTTCAGTTTTCTTATCTTTAAAAAGAAGGCTGAATCTCCATTTTACTATTTAAAATGATAGCTCAATAAAATCATTAAATAGATGATAGATATAGATGATTGATAGATAGGATAGATAGATGATAGATAGATTTATCTTACTTGCCAAGGAACAAGTGCCTTAGTCAAATAATTAGAGAGACTGTAGCTTTCAGATGACTCTCTACTACACAAGAAAGCTTAAGTATGAACAATTTTCAAATCATTTATTTGTTTCGTATACAATATGTTTGGCATATAAGTGTGCAATAGATCAGTATGGTTGTATTGTTAACAGACTGAGCAGTCTGTGCTCTCATTAGTTTATTTTCCATTTTTGGCACTTGGCTAAGAAAAACATAAGCATCTGCCACTAGTGGCTATACCCAAGAGTTCCCTACAAACATAGAATACCATGAAACAGGAACAGAATGGAGAGGCTGGACAAGATACATAGCTTTCAGAGTCACTGCTAATCCACAGTCATTTCTCATAAGTTACAGTCTTCTTGCAATTTGTGGGGTTTTTTTTCTCTGTTTTAGTAGAGGTGCAAACTTGGGCAAGTTAGTTAACGTCACAAAATCTGTTATATCTCATCTGTTAGATGAACATGAAACTAATTCCTAACTTATGAAATCATTCTGAGAATTAAATGAGGTCACATATGTATAATGATCAGCATTATGCCTGGTATATTTTTTAGTGCTTAATCAATATTAGCTAGTAGCAACAGTTAACAGTAACCATTAACAATAATGGGGCCAGGCATGGTGGATCATGCCTGATTCCAGCACTTTGTGAGGCTGAGGCAGATGGATCACCTGAGGTCAGGAGTTCAAGACCAGCCTGGCCAACGTGGTGAAACCCCATTTCCACTAAAAATACAAAAATTAGCCAGATGTGCTGGTGGGCACCTGTAATCCCAGCTACTTGGGAGGCTGAGGCAGGAGAATCACTTGAACCCAGGAGGCAGAGCTGTAGTGAGCTGAGATCATACCACTGCTCTCCAGCCTGGGTGACAGAGTGAAGCTCCATCTCAAAAAAAGAAAAATATAATGGTAGGTGTATTTCTCATATTGACAGTCATACAGCAGTGTCCATATAACTGAAAATCAAACTAGTTGATCAGTTTTTCTTCCCTAATAGTTTACGTGGGACACCTCTGGATTATTCTGTTTTCCCAGTTTTCCCTCTCCTGCTCCCCAAAGCATTCCAGCTGCAGCTGAACACACCTGCAGAGAGCACTCAGCTGTTTCTGTTAACACCATGCTGCTTGTTTAGGTCATGAAAACAGAAATTACACTACTTATGTTTAACAGGGATAACTGCATAGAGAAACTTGTTAACTAGGTATTAGAGAACTGAAAACACAAAAAGACATTATGGTATAAAGGAGTTAGCGACTTAAGGAAGCTGCTACCACCTCTAGTGCTGGGGAAACAAGGAAAGGTTTGGGATCTCAAAAATTGCTGCAGAAAAAGAACCTACCAGAGCTGAAACTATGGATAGGAGAATCTGTTCAGATGGTGCTGCTGTGTCTGAGTCCACAAGGAGAACTTGTGGTGCTGACACCCAAATCTCTGAAACAGGGATATGGGCTGACAGGTGCTGAGGTCTTTGAGGAAGCATAGAGTGGTTATTCTCCAAGTGTTGCAAAATTATTCAGACTGGATTCTGCTGCTGCTACTGGAATTAATTGCTGTTGCCAGGGTGAAGACACTAGATTGGGGTAATGCTGACAAGAGCAGGAAGCCAAAACACAAATAAAAACCAAAACAAGAAGGA